CTTTTGGACCTACAGTGGGTAAAATAAGTATTGAACACGTCACCATTTTTCTCAGTAAATATCTGCAGGAGATTGTCTTGACCATGTCTACATGCCTAAATGCACTGAGTTGCCGCCATGTGATTGGCTGATTAGAAATTAAGTGTTAATGAGCAGTTGGACAGGTGTACCTAATAAAGTGGCCGGTGAGTGTATAAGACAAATGTCCTTTATGATTCTACCAGTAGAGTAATAAGACAGTCTTGTCTTAAATTTATTTATGGTTCTACTTGTACAACACATGAACTGCAGACTGGTTGACACCTCTGAGGGTTTTTGGACTGGTTCCCAAGACATCTATTTATTCATCCACCGATATTCATCCATCTATCATCCAACATTCACCTACTAGTTTATCACTCAATGTTCATCTACCAATCACACAATGTTCACCTTACAATCTTTCATCCAAACTTCATCTACTGATCTTTCATCCAAACGTCATTCAATCTTTCATCCAAACTTCATCTATTAATCTTTCATCTATACGTTCATCTACCAATCACAAAATGTTCACCTACCAATCTTTGATCCAAACATCATGTACCAATCTTTGATCCAAACATCATGTACCAATCTTTGATCCAAACGTCATCTACCAATCTTTGATCCAAACATCATGTACCAATCTTTCATCCAAACGTCATCTATCAATCTTTCATCCAAATGTCATTCACCAATCTTTCATCCAAACGTCATCTACCAATCTTTCATCCAAACGTCATCTACCAACCTTTCATCCAAATGTCATCTACCAATCTTTCATCCAAACGTCATCTACCAATCTTTCATCCAAACGTCATCTACCAATCTTTCATCCAAACGTCATCTACCAATCTTTCATCCAAACTTCATCCACCAATCTTTCATCCAAACGTCATACACCAATCTTTCATCCAAACATCATCTACCAATCTTTCATCCAAACGTCATCCACCAATCTTTCATCCAAACATCATCCACCAATCTTTCATCCAAACATCATCCACCAATCTTTCATCCAAACGTCATCCACCAATCTTTCAGCCAAACGTCATCTACCAATCTTTCATCCAAATGTTCATCTACCAATCATACAACGTTCACCTACCAATCTTTCATCCAATGTTCATCTACCATTCTTTCACCCAAAATATACTACCAATCTTCCATCCAAACATCTATTAATCTTTCATCCAATGTTCATCCACCAATCTTTCACCCAACATTAATCTACTAATCGTTCATCCAGTGTTCATTACCAATCTTTATTTCCTCTCCGCTGCCGTCGGTGTGCTGCTCAGGATGGGGGACTGTGATGAAGTGAAGATTCGGCGCAGTCTGCTGGCTTCTTCAATTTTATTTTATTTTTTTGTGTGTGTACAGTGCCCTGAGACAACAGTAGTGACTTGAATTAAATATTCATCTACCAATCTTTCACCCAACATTAATTAATTTTTCACCCAACATTTATCACCAATCTTTCACCCAAAATATACCCAATCTTTCGTTCAATGTTCATCACCAATCATTAGACATTCTTCCACAAATCTATCATTCAACTTTTGTCAAACAGCCTACATTCATCCAACAATTTATTATTCCAACAATCCATCCCATCTAACCATCAGTCCAACCCTCTTTATTCCCCATCCCACATTTATTCCAATCACCACACATCCATCATCCAACAATTAATCTAACATTCAATCATATATTATCCAACCAACCACTTTTCTACCCATTCCTCCTCCAYCCATCCTTTTTACCCACTATTCCCAGAAGCATCATGGGGAGTTGGTGTCTTTTCCAAGCACTCAGAATATTAAAAACAAAGTAGAGAATTCCAGGGGCTGTTTAGTTAATTATAAATGGTAAAATTAATATTTGGAAGAGAAAATGGATTGTAAAGATGACACAAAACATTTGCTTGACTATTAAGACTTCTGTTAACTCTCACTTCATAATTTATTACATATATTCCAGACATCTCAGGAGCTTTTCTTAGGACTTTGGCTGCATTTTTTTTTTACTCAATTTCAGTTCTTCTACCTGAATGAAAGGAGAAAGGAAAGCCTGGATTGGAAACCCTAAGCTTAAACCCAGGTAATAAAACACAGCTCGAGCTTAATGTTACCGGAGCAGAGGAAAATTGTTGACAACTTCCCAAAAGGAGCCTTGAAAAATCCTTTATGAAGCCTGGAAATCTGTTTTTAAACTATTTTTTAAATTAAATCTGTAAAAAGGTGCTAGCTTATAAACAATTAATGAATACAGTATGCTTGGTGACCTAAAAATTTTATGCGACCACGTCTGTTAAGTTATGGATTTATTTTATTTTAGACACTAAAAAACAACTTACTTTCTATCCTTGAATGTTACGCAACCCAAAAGCTCAGGGAAACTAAACTTCCTACAAATAAAACTATTAAAATATTTGATTATTGTAAAAGAAGAAAGCTGTGTGCACAGAGGAAGACAGGATGGATACGTATTTTATTTCATACAGTGGACACCATGACAACAACAAAATGAACAAAACATTTACGTCATGTCTCCGAGTCCAGCTCAGCCGAAGAAAAACACTCATCGGCCGGTTGGACAAGCAGACGAAACAAATGAGATTTTATGAAGACTTTATACAGAATCACAAACAACAGGTTTTACAGATGACCTTGGAACAGTACGGTTTTATTTTTAATTTAACAAACATAAATAACTAGCATTTCAAGTTTTCCATTTTCCAATTTAAACATTTTAAATCACTAAATC